TGTTCTAGCTGCAAAGGGTGGACCGACGTCATATTGAACCCTATGGATTAGGAACGGGATGTCACTTAAGCTCATATGTGAGTCAAGGCAGGTGAGCAAATACTTTTGGCAATATAGTGTATATATATCACAATGGGGAAAAAATATTACCCCCAGGCACCCAGATAAAAGGAAACCTCTTAGGCTTCCTTACAGAGTTGCTAAAAAGATGCTTGATCAGAGTGTTTAAAGATTCAGTGAAAAAAATACAAACACAAAAGAGGAGGGTTTGACAGAGACTTATCCTAAGGATTATGTGACAGCAATGGCATGGGAACAGAGAAATATCTCAACCTACAGTATTTCTTCTGCTAGGTAAACCTTGTATTTTGATACACAATTCATCTCAGATAAAAAAAAAATGACATGAATATTTTAGCATTAATGTCTGCTTATGCTAGGGTTTACACATTAGCAGAAATACTTGCTATTCCTACATTTAAATATTTCAGGTGTTCCCAGGCTTGTCAACTTACAAACGCTGGCAGGATATGACTCATTGTAGGCATAACTTATATCAGGGTCAGTGTTTGTCAACATCTATAGCAATACCACAGCCTAAAATAATACCAAGTAGACACACTAACACTATGTTCTGCTGAAACAATTCCAGAATGACAATAATAATAATGATAATAATAATAATAATAATAATAATAATGATAATAATCCACTGATTACAGAAATCTAAGACCCTATCCAAGAAATGATGGAAGTATTACATCCTGTCAAACCAAAGACAAAACTGGGGTTCCACACCAAATGGTCTCCCTCTTAAAGACTCTTTAGCGAACTGATGTGCATCGCTGTTCACTTTTTGAAGGTTGCTGTCCGAATAGTGCTGGCGGTAAGGAAGGTGCTAGGAGAAGGAGCCTTTGACCTTCCCATAATAGTCTAGATTCCATAGCAAGTCAGATTGCCCCTTATGATGTTAAGAAGCTACTGCTTGAGGAATCCCATAATCCTTTGCAAGTCATGACATGTAAGCAGTGCACACCGTGTCACTACCTGATGTCTACCGCAAGCATGATCCGAACCATTAGCTCATTTCACATGTGCAAGCATGTATTCATCCAATTTGCCACAAATAATGTAATTACCAGACTGAAAGTACTTATTTCCATTCTATAATCACCAAAGAATAATAAACTACATATTATAAAACATATTTAACAACTTTTCTGAGAGAACTGGAGTTTTTAAATTCAGACAAAATATGATTATATCATCATTATCTGCATTTTAGTTGTTTCTTTCTTTGGATTATGTACGGAAGCCGAGAGCATTTTTACTCGACCTATTTTTTTTTTCCTTTGCCTTCTCAAGATGACATAACTATCTTGTAACCAGGGTTAAACCATTAAATGTTTTCTCGAGATACCAAGATAATTATCTCGTTATCACTAGAAAGCAGTTATTGATTTCTGGAGATAACTGTATGATTAACCTGTATGAGTAATGAATGAGGCTGGCCAACCGCCCTGGACTCTCAGTCCATCCATGCCTGCGATGCCCGTAGTTGTGCAGTCACGCTACCACGTTTGTGCAAATAATCAGTTTTAGAGTTTCCTTTTTCTTTTCACTCATTGTTAGGTCGTGGTGGATGAATGGATTGCATGGAATACAGTAGAAACAAATCTGACTGTTTTTGAAATGAAAAGCTTTAATCTAGACTCATTATAGGGCTTATAGGGGTTCATTACATCCCGGTTGGATTATTTCAATTAATTATATAGAGGCATCGATAAATCACAGATGCAGCAACTTCAATTGATCCAGAACGCACAGGTTGGCTTCTTACAGGAACCAGGAAGCATGACAATATAAGGCCTATACTTGCCTTTTTACATTGACCCGTCTTTTACTGAATAGATTTTAAGATTCTTTTTTTAACTTATAAGGTCTTAAATGGATTAGCTCCTCCTTATCTTA